GAGTAGGCAGTTTATGCCTACTGCTCTAGTTTTTCCCCCTAGAACTACAGATCTGGGTATCGTAGTAATGGAACAGACCCTCATCCAGGTGAGAGTCAGATGCCCTCAACCCTTCTAAAGCTAAAGAAAATGGAATAAGCAACAACACGATGAGCCACTAGGCTTGAGTATCAGCTTTGCTTTCAAGTTAACACATTTGTGTAGAGAAGCCCATGATCAACATATTTTAATCACAACCTAATTCTTCCCATTCAGACAGATATATAGAAGGAAGGCACATTAGCACATATTTAAACCTTATTACGTTTAGTACAAGATCTCATCGTCACAACAAGAAGTTCAATTGAAAGTGGAAAAATATTTAAAGGTACAGTGGCTATCAAAAGCATATACTTCTCTTGGATGTCATTACATTTTTTTTGTTTCAATATGAAATCATAATGTATTGAACTGGTAGTTTTTGCTATTGTCTGACAGAAAATACTATGAAGGAGTCAATATGAAAACATCCTACAGATCCTACTAAATTATGAATATAAAATGGAAAATAACTGATAAGTATTTACATTCTAGGTGGCCTCCCTGACTATTGCATTTCTCACCTGGAAAGTGCACTAGGACACCCTGTTATTCATAGTTTCACAGTTGTACCATATTTTCTACATTTCTTTATAATGGACTTTGCTTTGGGGGATATGTAAAGCCTTGGAATGTTTTTATACCCTTCTCCTGATTGGTGCTTTTCAATAACCCTGTCACAGATTTACTTTGTAAGTTCCTTTGTCGTTACGATTTAATTTTTGTTGGGAGCTGTACTAATCAACTGTGGGGTCTCCCAGAGGTATATTTATCCCGAACTCATGTGAAACACACTAATTGTCCATTGGTGGACTTCATTCAACAAATTATGTGATGTCTAAAGACATTTAGTTGTACCAGAGCCTATTTAGGTGTGACATAGTTAAAGAGGGTGAATACTTGTGCAATCACTAATTTTCTGTTTCCTGTTTATAATCAATTTAGGAGGACCTATAGAATTTTCGTTTCAATATGACATTATAGTGTGTTTTGTGTTGATCAATGACATAAAATCCCAAATAAATACATTGTGATTCTACAGTGTTAATGCAGTAAAATGAGAAAGTCCAAGAGGAATGAATACTTTTGATAGTCAATGAATGAATCAGCTGGGAAAGCATTCTCATGTATAGTTAAGATAAAGCTTAAAATGACACTGTAATATTATAAAAAGGCCCCAAACACACTTAAAACACCCTTCTTCCAATCACATAAAATATGCATTAATGTATGTTAGTAATAGACATACTGTAATGAAAAACTATAATGTGACCGAAGGTGGAAAGAAGTGCATGACATTTGAAAGTAATAACTTTATATTTTATTTACTAAAAACAGCATTTTAACAGTTCTCTGTGTGGAAAGCAATACTGGAAGAGAACAGCAGACAGGCAAATCAGACATACTGAAAATTATGAAATTTAAATTTATGAAACCTGAATTTATGTTTCTTAAGTACTGTCCTAAAACTACATACATTTTGCCCTATTGGATAAAGTAAATAAACACCCTAGGGGGCTTCAATCAGTTTGATTCTTGGCTTTTAACTTTACAACCACCATTAGTAACTCTGGAGTCCTTAAGGCGGCGTTGGAGACAGACAAAGAAACAGAGATGGGGAAATCATCTGACATGGAGAGTGGCTCTTCAGAAAGAGACACACAAAGTAGGAAAGGTCTTAAGGGGAAATTCCTCTTTTTTAAGCACGTACCTTGTACTCTTCTAGCTGTTGCTGGTTAGCCTCAAGTTCCCCCTTCAATGATGCTTGAAGAACTAACTGATCTGCTTCCTAAACCAAGAATAAGAACAGCAGATCCTGAATTTCATACTTTTTTAGGACATGATTGATAGATACATAAAAGAACTGCAAGTGTCATGTTTTTCTTTTCAAAACACTTAAAAAGGTATAACTCACCCTCTTCTTACTATCGGCCAGATCCTTCTTTGTTTTGACGAGCAATTGTTTCATCTTTGAGGTTTTCTCTTCTCCTTGATCAATTTGAGACTTCAAGGATGCTATAAAAGAGAGTCAAGTTGTCTTCACCTACTGCATATCTGAAAACAAGACTAGGGAACCTGTGCTGTAGATCTTTCCACAAGGGAGTTATGTATTTTACGATGAATACAAATTACATGTGTTTTGTTTGACTGCATAACATGAAATTCACCAGAAAAGTATTTTTTCTTTCTAAACACCATTCTGGATCGCTAAAGTCCATCTAAAGTTGTCTTGGGCTGAGGTTGAATGTAGTCGAAATTAAATATCGGCTCTTTTTAAATAAGTACTGTAACCTTGAGCAACTTCAAAAGAATTTGCTCATTTGTAAAATACATTTGCCTTTAATACTAATCACACAGTCTGAACAATCTGTTCGGGGTCTTTAGGCTGCAATAGCTGAACTTCATTAGTAAACACAATTCTGGAGATTGAGAAGCAAGATACAGGACGGCTTTTGGAATGAAAAACTACGTACACATCTCCTCATGCAGCATTTCTTGTTTCTTTCGTTGCATCTGATCTTCTTCTTCTAACTCCCGAATTCGACTTTCCTTGTCAGAGATTTTCTGGTTTAGCTCTTTGACCAGCCGATCGTAATCTGCTATTTCCATGTCCATTAAAGTGCTCTGCTGAGCATCCTGTGAAAAAAAAAACTAGATTTCAGGTCCCATTATATTACAACAACTAGCTTTCAACATTTATTCACAAGGGAGAGGGCACGTCTGTACACTAGAAATGAAAAATGAAAAACTGCCCCCTGGTTACTAGTTTGATGTGATTCCCAGTTGTAAGCAAAGTCGTACAAAGTCTTTTTAAATGCCTGTGCTGGAGGCTGGCCTTAAAAATACTGTCAGCTTCCAAGGAGCTGATCGACACCACGAGGCATTGATGTTTTGAGCGCAGCACAACTGCAGTACATGACGGAGGGTTATAGAAACTGCATCTATGAGAAATAAATAACTTACCTACTCTCTGAAACTACAATCTGTAGGACTGAAACTAGATTGACCCCCATTAGTGTAGAATAACTTGTAGTGTCTAAAAGCTATTCACTGAAAACAGCTACACATTCTATTACTGCTTTACTATGAAATGAATTATTTTTAAATACACTTCTTACCAATAGTGTGCAATACTTTTTTCTGTGTTGAACTGAGATTCCCTGTGAGACTGCACACACAAAATGTTACATGTAGATCACCATATCAAACACTCGCAAGCTCACATGCAGTGAGCATGGATTAGGGCAGCTAATTAGTAATAATATTTCAAATGCGAGCTCTATTAATATTAGCCGTGAGTGTGGCTTATAATAAAAGCAACCTCTAGAAAGAAAATAATAATGAGGTTGAGGCTACAAAGTATGCTTTGGACACATGAAGAATCAAATTTAAAAAACGTAATATCACTCATAGCATCAATACCCATTAAGATATACATGCCTTTCGCAAAAGCTCCAGTTCTTGCACAGCCTGCTGCAGCTGATGCTTCTGTTTCTGGTGTTGTTTCTGAAGGTCTTCAAGTTCTTTAAGCGCAGCACTGTGGTCCTGTGAAAAATACCATTTAAATAGCACATACAGAATACATTTTGAACACAGGACATGAAGAATGGATTTATGATAGGTCTCGGTGAGATTCTCTGCCAAATTTACTGACATTTGGTGCCATTCTTCTCAGACAAAGCTTAAAATTGCTATCCATAATAAATATCATGTGAGCCTACTTCAGTAGAGGATGGAAGAGGGTCCTCTGCTGTATGTGAAGAGCTAGGAGATCCTTTACATTGAAATATTCTATATAAATGGAGACATAATAATTACAGTAACAAAATTAAAATCATAATAAATTCTTTATCATTACCAGTTTTTAGATTGTTGTTAAATTAAATAGATTGTTGTTAAAAAAGTGGTCATAAGTATAAAATTATGATTATGATTAATATTTGGAAAGGTAAAATACTGGAGAAGGACTCTGAACCAGCAGACAAGTGATTTTGCCCTCACATCTACATGCACGCATGCTGCACATAGACTTTTTTGGTGCTTTTTGGTGCTTTTTTTCACCTTGATTTTTTGCTCCTTTAAAAGCTTTTCACCCTCCAGGTCCTTTTCCAGCGCTGATTTCACCTTCTGTGCTTCTAAAAGCTGGGCCTCCAGCTGCTTCATGTTGGCATGGAGGGTTTCAATGCGAGTCACCAGGTCCTCTTTCTCCGACTTTAACTGCTCTTGCTGTTAAAAACAAACAAAAAATTAATCTCCGCTTCAGTTTTACCATGCACCTCTGCCTTCCACGTTATGTATTTCTTATGCTTATCCCACCAGAGAGTCAAACACATTTTTTAATAACTACGATACACCACAAAATCCTGAAGGATCTTTACTTAGGCCTCCGGGGGGGCGAAATACTTTAATCGTGTTCAGACGGTTTCATTCAGAAATGAATACAGGGTCGACATAAGAATTCTTTCCAAGAAAACCTCCAGAAAAGAAAACAGCAAACAAACATAAGATACAACTTTTTAACACATGATGACACACAATAAAACTTTGGATTGTTCAAGGACCACTGGCTGTGGATTCCATCTGCCAGGCTACTGCTCCCCGGAGGCCTCTTAGTTTACACAACCATGGGAAATGAGGGGCAATAGCAACATATTACGGCTCCCAGCACTCCCCGGATGCAATTCCACCAGATGGCAAGAGCCTCAGTGCCTGATGGGTGGCATCGTTTCTCAGGCGGAGCACAGCTGCGAGGCTGGAAGGGAGGCGGTCGCTGGCGGGCTCTCGCGGTCCGTGAGCTCCAGCTCTCTGCTCCAGGGGGGGGGGAGGACATTACCTGTAGGGCTACAGCTTGCAGGCGCTTGGCCAGCTCGGCGACCTGGCGCTCGCTGCCCTCCGCCCTCTCCCTCTCCCTGTCCAGCTGCTCCGTCTGCTTGTCGTACTCCGCCAGCAGGTTCTGCACAACGACATTATTGATGACCTGAGCACAAACCACTGGGCTATACCGTATACCCAGGGGTTTCGCTTGCTGTCCTCTAAATAAGCAGGCTTCTTCTTTTTGTCTCTTCAAATTTGGAATTGCCTGGGTCTTGGTGTACATCAGCTATGAACATAAGAAAGGCTTGAAACCTGGAGGATGCCTTTCGGTAGGTAGTATGTAGTAAGCAATTGATTCCAGTGTCTCATTCAGCCATTTCTTGAAAGACGCCAAGGTACCACTTTGTAACAACATGGCTGGGTAACTAGTTCTATACTCCCACCACACTTCTAATATCCAACTATTCCAATATCCACCATCCACCTACTGGAAGAGTGGCAGGAGTATGGAATAAGCTACCCAGCCATGTTGTTCAACCTTGGCTTCTTTCAAGAAATGGTTGGTTGAGACACTGGGATTGATTTTTTACTACTACTTACTACCTGCTGAAAGGCATCCCCCAGGAGGTTTCTAACCTTTCTTACAGATCACAACTAATGTGCCCCAGGGTTCACCGAAGCACATCGAGTATCGTGGGCACACAAGTGCTCTGGAGTTGAGTTTATGGATTTTAAGGGGGGACGCTCCAGCTCACCCCATAAGACAAAAGGAACCAAGCAGGAAAACTGGCCAACATTAACAAATACAGGAGAAAAAAACAAATCAAAAGGTGAAAGGAGTCTTATCATTTTAAACAGTCACAAGAACTGCCTGACCATTCAATAAAAAAAAATCTTCTTAAAGAATCTTTTCACAAACCAAAAATATTTTTGTCCTCTATTTCACCAAAACTCCAGGAAATATTTAACCACCAGAGCGAGATTTAACTCAGTAGCAGGCCTGAGAAATACCTTGTAGCCCTCTGCTCCGTGAATTATATCCTTCACAGAGCTGGATAATCGGTCTCTCTCCACTTTCAGGGACTCCATTTCTTCTTTCAGTGTCTGAACCTGTGAGCAGGGGGAAGGAGCCCAGTTTACAATATTTTACCACACCATGTCATTTCACGAGAAACTTTTAAACCAACTACAAGAAATAACAGACAAAACGAACACCCAAACATATTTTGGCACTCCTCATCTGAAACAATTTAAACTGTACTATACCTTTTCATATTTAAATTCAGTAATAACTGATAGCACAGAATTTTACAACATCTGATGCAATGTATTTATTGAAGTACATATTTAACTTACTTCTTTCCTACTGTTATCCAGTTCTTTCTTGGCCTTCACAGCGACAGCTTTTATTTTGTTTATCCTCTCGTCTTTCTCTTTATTTTCTTTTTCCAGATTGGCTACAAAATATCATCGCATACACAGAAATAAAGAAGCAAATACAAGTCAGTAAATCAGTTAACAATTAGTACTTAAAAATTAACTGGACAGTTATAACAATGATGTTTTCCCTGTTTTCCTAACTCAAGGGTCCAACAGAAAGCTTTCAGCATAAGACACTAGCAGAAAACCTCTCTAAGAAGCAGGATGTTATAAACTCTTACTGTATGTTAAAGGAAAAGTAACCTTAGATCCATAGTAGGGAAATAAACAAAGCTAAGATAATTATGTGTAAGGGAAAAGACATCAGAAATCTCAAGAAGCAACTACCATATTAAATTCCTAAAACGCTTAACACTTAAGAGGTATTGTGACTAACTGCTTGCTTTCATGAAAAGGGTTACAAAACCTGCAGTAGATTCTACATGAAAACGGAACTTAATTCCAGGGCTAGTGTGAACTCCCTTTTCAAAACAATACCAAATTCCAATGACAAAAAAAAATCCTAAAATGCAAACTAAACTGGAGCCCCGTTTTCATTTTTTTAAATGCTATCCTGAAGGGACATGGTACACTCACTATTAAGGCAGTCTGATGAGCAAAGAATTTAATGTAACGTCATTTTGAGAGATAAGTTGAAAACACATTTAGACTGGCTATTCTTAATTTTTTTTAAAAATTGTTATAACTAACACTTCCAAATATGTATTTTATTTGATATTAACTTAACATTTTAACCCTTGGGGTTAACTGGTTAGCTGAGCAACAGGCTCTGTCAGGAACAACAAAAGTAAAAAGAGCATTGATTAAAGGATAGATGAGCTCACGGCTATCTGTCACCACTTCTCATTCCTCTGCTGCTTTACTCCAACTGAGAGACATTTACACAGACGCTTTGTGAGATCCTATTTAGAATGATAATCATCACGGGAAATGGTCCATAAAAAACGTCAGACTTCAGGTTTCATTGCTTAAAATGTAAGACAGGCATAATATACAGTACCCATTAAAAGAAGCATTTAACCCAAGCTTAGATTTCTTTTCAACAGGCAAACCTCTTTTTCCAGTTTTTAGATGTACATTTTGGTTCACTCTACTGGGATCCAATCCAGATTCCAGGAGTTCTCTTGCACTGACCAAGAAGAATGGAAGACAGAAACCCAACAGTCCTGATGTTCCCTGGGCACAGGCCTTTATGGCTTCGCAATTTATTGCCTGGCAAAATGGACCACTTCGTAAAAACATAACACAATGGAAATATCCAATGGTACATCAGTGCTTGTGAGCTTGGGCCTCACACCATTTTACTAACAATTCAGGATCTCCGCAGCCTGTTCTTTTGAAATCGGTTAAATCCCAAACAATGCTGGTGACTAGGCTGGCTGTTTTTGGTAATGAAACCAACAACATGTCAGTAAATAATTTCTCGGAAATGTTAAGCCTTTTCATTTCATTGCACAGTAATTCCTACATTTCTAGTGAAACATTACCTATTTGTTCACTTAGCTGAGTCACGTTTATGCCTTCAGCAGAAGAGGACACTTTGGAATCCTATGCGAGAAATATGTAAAAAAGGGAATAAGCAAGTGAAAAACAGCAACAATGCAACAATAAAACATTCCAACTAGAAGTACAGATTAAACAATTTATTCATTTGGGGGTTGAAATTCGAGACCATCTTTGTTTAAAAATACTCAAAAGGCACCAGCGTACCAGTTCAGAAAACAATGATTGTCTGCAATAATCAATCATACCTTTGTGGCTGTATTTTATCAAGCTGCATGAAATCAGACGAGAGAATCAAAGTGGAAAATCAGTGATGGTATTTTCATTTTTACTCTGGTTCTGAACACTAAATTTAAAATACCCATTTGTAATCCATTGCAGGAAACAAACAACCTCTGCAGGTAATGCAGAGAATTCTAAAACCCCAAAGAATGTGAAAATCCAGAACTAGAGATAGGAACCCATGTACAAAAAAACATTGAGGTAAATGTTTTTAGCGATTTCAGGACAAGTATATATATATTTTGGGCCATTTGTTATAGGTAACCATTACATTTGGTTTTGCTACAGAAAACCGCAAGGCAATTTACTGCTGAGAAGGCAAGTCAAAAAGTTAACTACAGCTAGTCCATGACTTCATCCTCAGATACGGTGTTTTTCTGCCCCCTTAAGAGGGCCAAATAAACAAATAGAATAATGCAATCATTAACTAATGCCCATTTGCCTGACCTGGCACTGAGAAGCACTCTCCACCAAAGTGTTTTTTGCCCTAATAAGTCTCAGATAAAAAAAAGAACTAAAACAGAAAGAAACCCAAGGTGCACTGTTTGGGCAATTAAAAAAACACTAATGTTACACATATATTTTGAAAAAATACAAACCTGTAAACGTTCGATGTCTGCCTTTAACCTGGACAGCAGACCTTCCTTTTCAGCCAGGAGCTGCTGCAATTCCTCCTTCTCTCCCGTGTTTTCCACAGACAGCTTCTGGCTTTCACCTCGGAGGTCTACGTTCTCGTTCTCTTTTGCTCTGATTTTCTCCGTTGCCTCTGCGATCTGGGCCAGCAGGCTTTCGTTTTCCACCTTCACCTTCTCAGTGACGCTCTTCATCTCTACCAGGTCCCTCTGTAATCCCTCCATGTCGGAAACAACGTCTTCCAGGTTCTGCTTCAGCATGGTCTTCTCTTTGCTGAGGTCGTCCACCAACGACTGCAGTTCGGCTTGTTGCTGTCTGCCCTCCTCCTTTATCTCTTCGATATCCACAAGCAGCTGATTAATTTTCTCACGGCTCTGCAGCAGTAAACTCTGCTTTTCTTCCAGAACCATGGCCAAAAGTTTTCTTACCAAGGCAGAAATGTCCCCTGCTTCCTCTTCTTCAGCATGTTCCAGTGTTTCAAGGCTAGCATCTTGTTGAAATACACCGACAATGTGCCTCCGTGCCTCAGACAGTTGATGCTGCATCTCCTCAAGCCCTTTCTTCAGTCCATCTCTCTCCTCCGATGTAGACTGTAAAGACTGCTCCAGTTCTTCTCTCTCCTCACTAGAACTTGAGGGAACCTCTGATCTGGGTTGACCAGACTCCTCATGCAAAGCAGCTCTTGTTTCCTTCAGTTCAGCGAGCTCCTCTTCCAGTGCCTTCAGCTCAGAGGTCTGCTGCTCCTTTTCAGAGTGCATCTCTGCTAGTTTACTCTCCAAGATTGCCAGCTGCCGATCAACAGTCTCCTTGTCTGAGAGAGCTGCTGCCAAGCTGGCCTCTGCCTCGCTGAGCTTTTGCTTTAGCTCCGTGTTGTTCTTGGAGTGGCCTTCCAGACTCTGCTGAAGTGCAGTAGCTTTACCTTGCTCTGTGCTGCACATCTCTCTCGCCTTCTTCAGTTTGGCCTCTGAATTTTTCAGCGAAGAAAGCATGCTGTCCCTGTCCAAACTCAACGTTGCCAATCTCTCTTCGAGCTCCTGTACTGCACTTTCTTTTTGGTGAAGCAGAGACAGAATCTCTTCATTTTTCTCTTGCAAATGACTCACAGATGAATTCAGGTCTTCATTGGCATTCTTTTGAGATTCTTCAACCTTGGCCTCCAGGTTGTTAATTTGTTCCAGCAGGCTATCTTTCTCATTGAAGGCTGCCCTCAGCTTCTGCTGCAGCTCATGGATAGCAGAAGCTCCTTGGTCCTTCATGGTATTGAGCTCAGACTCTCTGCTCCTGAGGATCTCTTTTGTCTGCTCATAATTGTCAACTGCTTCACTCTTCTCCACGGAGAGCCTGTCACACCTACCTTTCAGTTCTTGGATTTCTGCGAGCGCCTTCTCCTTTCCGCGCTCCGACAAACAAAGGAAATGTTCTTCAAGGTCTTTCAGCTCCTTCTGATGTCGCGCCTGCAGGACGCGGAGCTCCTCCTCGTGCTGGTTGAGAGCCATCTCCCAGTGCTCATTGGTGACCTGGAGCTTCTCCTTCCAGGTCTTGGCTACGCCCTCGCTCTCCTCCTTGCACATCTGCAGCTCATCAATCTTGAATTCCAGCTCTTCCCTCTCGAGATTAAACTCCGCCTTCAGCTGCTGCAGGTCGGACTCCAGCTGCATCTTCACGTTGCTCAGATAGGTGAGCTCATCCTGCATCATGGTGTGCTGGGACTGCAAGACTCCCAGGGCAGCCTTGAGCTGCCCAACTTCACCAGCTTCTTCTCCTGAATCTTGGGGTGCAGTGTGGCTTTGGTCACCAGCTTTCCCAGTTTCTTCCTCCTCCTGCACGTCCTGCAGGCTGCTCTCTTGCTGAGCCAGCTGTTCAGTTAGCTGTTCCTGAAGCTGCAGCAGCTTGTCCCTCTGCTTCTCATACTCCTCTGCTGCAGCTTCCACCTGGTCCATCAGCTCTTTCGCCTCCTCTTGGTGTGCTTTCCTTATTTGCAAAATCTCCCTTTGAAGGTGTTCAATCTTCTTTTGGGATTCTGTCTGAGCTGCTTCATGGGCTTCGATCAGTCTTTCTACCTCCTTTTTCCTCTCCTCTTCTGCCAGGTCTAACTGGTGCTGTAGATGTGACAATTTTTCCTCATAGCCTCGCCTGGAAACTTCCAAATGCTCTTTTAATACCCTGATCTCATCCTCTTGGCACAATCTTTTGTTCGGCTGGGCAGTGAGATTTTCCATTTCGGCCACAGAATCCTTCAACATCTTCTGAAGGCGTTCAATTTCATCTTTGTGCTTCTCCTTGGTGGTGTCCAACTCCTTGCTCAAAACCTCGGTCTTTCTCAATTGCTCCTTGGTTAATTGGTCAAATTGATTTTGGAGCTCACTTAACTTTTCAGATGCATCCTGATACAACAACAATCAGACAGAAATGACAAATAAAAGGTGCTTCCGACATTACACATTCATGCATTAAGTGATTAGCTTAATTAGCTATCTCATTAAAAATCAACTGTTTTTCCATAAATGATATCATAGCCCATCAACAGACATGTGTATATAAGATTTTAAAACAAACTGAAAAAAATTCAGAAGACATTGGTACCCTTTTCAAAAATATATTGCATCATCTTTTATGATAAACATCTACATTTAAAGACACAAATAATTCATTAGCTTTAACTGTAGGCCTTCAAAGAGTGAAACTGCTGTGTTTTAATATATAGGTTATTCATTACCTGCGCCTCCTGTCTTGCCTTCTCATTTTCCTTGCGAAGCAACACTAATCTCTGTTGGGTTTCTGCTTTCTCCAAAAGCACAGCTTCCAACCTTTCTGTTACTTCCTGAATCCAAGAAAAAAATTATTTATCAAAACTATAAACATCAGTGAGTCCAGCAACTGAGTTAGAGCTAAATCCCATCCATTTCAGCTGTCATTGAAGCTACAGTTTAATTTTAGTCCATGCATTTGCCACAGAAACACATACAAGTAAAGGTAGCAAAGCATTTTGTAGTGAACACTTAGTGGGCTGTAGACAAAATGAAGGTTCTTGTCTGAACTACATTCCCCAGAGAGCTATGGGAATGGCTTGTCATGCTCAGTCCCCTGACCAATTGACAGAAGACAACTGATCAGGTGGTGATTGAAAGACTAGGAAGCGAGCTTCTGGTGTTCTGCATCTATTATAGTCCAGGGCAACAATGGGAAAATAATTTTTTAAAAAAACACTACCGACAGATAGGCCTGTGCACTTTGTGAGTTTCTCTTATATCCGGTTTGGTGCACCCATGGTGATACATGGAGAAAATATCTATACCAGAATACTGATAAGAAGTCACCATTTTCAATTTGCACAGGATATGGAAGGGAGTATTGACTGCAATGAAAAATCCTGAAAGAAAGCAGTGTCACTTATGGAAACACAAACCTGAATTACTGCATCGCCTGCTGCACTATTTGACTTGGCTTTCAGTTCTTCAACTTCCTTTTCCAAATCTAAAAGATAGGACAAATTGGCACCAATCATGTCTGCCACATTGCACATACTGATGTTCGATATTAACTAACTTAAGTTAAATGTTATATCACACAAGGAGAATCATATCACATGTAAAGATAAAGAACTTCACATTTCTGAATAAGTGTTTCACTTTTTAATTTACACTACTAAGTGTGAATAATTTGTTACAACAGTGACATTGTTGAAAAGCTTTAAGAAACAGCTGAGGAAGAAGGTCAATGGGGTTTCTTCCTTCAGCCCTGAGAAATAAATTTAAGTATTGCTTACTTTTTTACACTGTCATAAACGGAAAGCACAGTCGATGATATTACAGCTGTAATACAAGTGTAAAACAAAAGGAGCACTTTAAAAACCAGCAAACTGCTGTTCAGACAGATCCTCACCTGCACATTTTGCTTTGAGCTTTTGCGTCATTACAACCTGCTTCTTGGAGAACTTGATGAGATCTTCTTTGGAAAGAGTGTCCAACTGAGGCAGATACAAATGAAAGAGTAAAGGTCATCTGGTCTCCTTCTACAAAAACAAAACTTGGGGTCTGGAGCCATTGAACACAGTATAGCTTTCAAAATGTCTGGTCATACCGATCCTGTTCCAAACCCAGAAAGAAAAGTGCAGCAGCGCATTTCAAGCAGAGGTAGCTGGGTTGCATAAACTCTAAATTGCTTGCATTGGTGTAGTGATTTTCATCCCAAACGTTTTCAAAGCACTTTTCATTTAGGAGGAGATACACTTCATCCAGCACTGAAGTACAGCCCAACTACATACCACATCAAATAGAGAAGTGTGGAGCTACTTTACTAGGTGAATTAATGGGGGGACAGGTTGTGCAGACCACAGCAGAATTTAGCCAGCGAACATAAGATCACTTTATTGGCCATATACAGTTTCTTGTATTAGGAATTTGACTTTTTGCATACTTCAACTTACTTGCCATGAGACACACAGACAGGGAGAGAAGCTTGGGGTCAGAGTGCAGGGTCAGTCATTTATACGGATCCCTGGAGCACCTGGGGATAAGGGCCTTGCTCATGGGCCCAACAGAGTAGGATTCCTCTGCAGGCCACAGGATACGAACCAGCAACCTTCCAGCCACAGGCACAGATCCTTAACCACAGAGCCACCCACCACCACCCATCTTTATGAAAAGTGTTCTGTGATCTTTACTAGTAGTCACAACCTTGGTGTAACATCTCTGCAGGACAGCACACTGTCCCTGGTCATCCTTCTGGGGCATACGTTTGGAAATTCCAGTCCAGAGGGAAGAGCACCTCCTACTGGTCCACCAACACCACTTACAACAGTAACCTACCAAGCCTTGCTTAACTTCTGAGATCTGGCACAATCAGCTTAGGAAGTTTTTAGCTCCTGTGAATATACTTGCAAACTACACAAGGAAATGATAAGCAACCACCTGTCAAAAATGATAACAGTATACACACTGCTTTCCAAGTGTATTTTACAGCTTTCACAAGAATACAGCAATGGGAATCTAACAGCATGGGACATTCAGCACTTCACAAAGCAAAACCATTTTATTATATAAAAAGAAATCACCAACAAGATGGGCTCTAGGAGAATGTCTCACCTCCTCTCTCTCATCCTCAAAGTAAGATGGTGCTTGGCCTTCACAGTCCCACAAAAATATTCCTCCACTTATTAACTCATAATTTGTACTCATTAGAAACATTCAAGGCATCATAAAATAACATATTTGTTTTCTATTCTATAAAATCATAAGGGATTTGTTCATGAAATGCATTACACTCCAATCCACTCAGAAATGCAGAACCTACAACAAGGGGCAAGAAACAGACAATAACAGTTTTGACCAGAAACCCTGAGGGAATGTAGAAGCCCACTGAGCTGCTGTTTAAAACTGTAAATAAGGAAAGATCCTGCGTCATAATGTCTATTACCTTGGACTTCCCAGTGCCTGGGGTTGATGGCGAAGCTACTGACTCCAGATTATTTTCCTGTTAAAGCAAACAAAAACACATTTGCCACTTTTATTCCTCTTCATTTCAAAGCCCACAGGTGGTGTTACAAAGCTTTTGAACTACACAAAGCTTTTTTTTGCCATACCTAGACTCGGGGCTAAATTGGTTGACAATTCAAGATTCCTCAAAAGATCTATTTTTATATAAATTGAGAGTACATCACTTTGAGGCATTGTAAGAATGTAATCTGATGATTAGATATGATTACAAGATCGTTTTTCCCATGGTATCTGCAACCATTTTATTAACCTCGGAATTCAATGGTCCATAGCACAGAGCTCATATCTTACTTTTACAAGGGTTACAGAAAGGAAAATACAGCGCATTACAAGCATGATCAGACATGAGCAATGCGTGGTCAAAAATGATCTTACAATGTACGGGACGGGAATTTTCCTAGTAAACCATGCAAGCTAATGTGCTGAGGGACCTGTGTTCCTTCACCCCTCTGCAGTATTCGTGCTGACTCGCAGTCTGCTGCTGTGGGCTGTGCGGCCGGACGAACAGGAGTGTTCACATTGTGTTGTGAGCCTCCCCGTTCACTCGGGCTGTTAAAGCTAATAGGAAAATGAGACTACTTCACGTGGCAAACGGAAAAAAAAGAACTCAACTTCAATGCCACCATGAGAAAACAACCTGACCCCCCATAAAAACAAAACAGCTTAAAGCAAAGACAAAGGCATATAAACGACATTCTTTTAGACATTTTATTAATGTACTTTAAAATTAATAATATGCCTTTTTTATTTCAAATCAGTAAAGTATACTGAGATGTCCAAATGCTAAATTCCATGACCAACGTGTATTTACGTCTATTTCTCCTTTTGGAAAAAAGATGCTTTTCGACTGTCACATCTTTGTTGTGATAAGGGGCCTACAGATCCAGCGGGAGATCCGGTACAGTGGCCAACAAGATTTAAAATCAACTCACCTCCATTTTTGAAAGAAATCTATATGCGTACGTTAATATAATTCACCGCCTCAGTCGACAGAATACAAACAACTGGTGTGCGGTGCTACTTTACGAAGCGGTGCATTCCCCTTCTCGAAAAGCACTAGACAGCTCCAGCAGCAAATCCTGCTTCCGCCTCAGGACAGCGCGTCGATTCCACGTCACTACTTGACTTCGGGAGGTTTCAGCAGGAAGTTGCTGTGTGTTGCCGTGGTGACGAAAGATATTACGATAACATTACCATTTCCTGCTTGGTGTGCAGCGTCATATTTCAAATTTGTGCTCAGCAAGACACTAAGTGACACATTCTAGTACTTTTCTAAGTGTACCGTGGAATTGTTCATTTGATTTCCACGGCATTTCCGTGCATAACTATGTATTTATTTTGATGTGCCAGGTTTTTTTTTTACCACCCCTTCATTGAATTGATTGAGTTTTACTATCTTTTTACTCAGATTCAACATTGTACTTCCTTGTAAGGGCAATTTAGTGTAAAACATTGTTGATCCAAATGGTTCATATTACTAAATGTTCCTTACACTAGGAAAAAAATAGCAAGTAATTTTTATTAGTAGTGTTTTAAACAATGCTGTTTCAGTCATGTACCATATACAGTACATTAATTACATCAATAGATTTAATTAAATAATGTGTGGGTGTTATTAGAAATTTGTCACTAACTGTGAAAACTCTAGTTTATTTCTGAGTTTCAGTTATTGTTATGCATGTTAGAATTTGGTGTTGTATTTCATTTTCTTAATATACAGTACATAAGTAATTAGGCATTGAATATCAAACAGCAGTTGTTTCTGACTCTGTCAGTCTATAAATGGGTTACATTTACTTATCTCTAATCATATTATCATATATTTTAAATTAATCCTTATAAAGCTGTTAAAAAATGAAACATTTTAAAAAGCATATTTTATGCTTTCCGGGTCTCATCCATTTCTACTGTAAATGTGTAGAGTGTACTGTACATGTTATTAATTAGTTTACTTTTTACTATAGAAATGATTAAATTATTAACAGCACCTGCCACAGAATTATTTAAAAAATACCACAGAATACAATTTTTATGGTGATTCAGTTTAAAAAATCATGAAATACCAAAAGACCTGATACAATATGTCCAGAGGGAACATTTGGCAGTTATATTTCCAACACAAACTGGCTACATGACAGTCATGAATAAATATTATTCATACATATTTGCTAAAAAATGAAAACTAAATATAGTTAAGATACTACATTTTAGCTTCTTAAAAGATTGATATCAAGACAAAGCAGTTTATAAATGAAAAGATCAACATAAGGAATGTAAGTTCAATATTTTGAAATAATATATTGTGAGATGCACTTTGTAGTATGTAAATAGCCTCTAAAACCTCTCTGGATGATTAAGGCTTACGCATTTTTTATTTCTAAAAGTCCTTTTTACATCAAACAGGTTTTGAATATAAAATAATAGCTCAGAATGTCACAGGAATTTGTATTTTACCATTAGAAGAGAGTGTTGTGCAACTCGCTGGCCTTCCATATCACCAGAGATTTGAATATCCCATTGATATTAAAATGTTGGAATTTAAATTCATACTTTAACCAGAGGTGTTATGTATTCTAAAGGATAGTTCATGTCTATGTGATTCATCAAGGATACCTATTTACATCTATCAAGCCTTGGCCAACAGTATTACTAGCACAGGTTGTTTTTTTAAAAGAAATCTTTAAAATTATATAAATATTCATTCACAACATGAAAAACTAGTAGGTGTCAGAGAGAGTTCAACATTTATTTGTTTGTATATTTTGTGTGCATGGGCAGATTTACTTCTTTCTTTTCTACAGCAGTCATAAAGTTGCTTATTTAAATGTGTTTTGATCAGAAATTTATACATTTGATTTTTAAAAATATATATTAATTGAGCGAAACTTTAAAGAGCATGCATTGTCTCTTTAAGAGAGTAACATAAACAGTAGATACAGTTGGATTGTAATAAAAGAAAAAAATCTTTGCCATTCTAGAATAATCTTTATAGTATATGACTTCACTGCATGATTAAGGTTTAATTTAAGAATGCTCTGGGCAAAACCTTTTCCTGTATTAAAAAAAATTACTCTCTGCAAAACATGAGAGTCTTGAATATGAGACAAATAGCTTAGAATGTCATAGGAAAATGTATTTAGCCATTAGTCATGAGTGTGCTATCGTTCAGGGCCTTTTCAAATCCCCAGGGAATAGAAATTCCCATTTTATTGTGGTCTGTTGACATTAAAAGCTGGGATTTAAATACACATCATAAGTTAAGACATTATATATCTAGTTATCAGTGATATTCCTGATGTCCTAAGATTCATTCCCGTTTTTTTAATTCAGATCATTGCTCACTTCATTGTCAGCACAGGTTGCTTTTTTAAAATGTATATAAAAAATCATTAATGAAGACATAATCATTGATTGACTTGATTTTTAACAAATAATAAAGATTTTTCAGAAATCAGTTCTGCTAATGGATGGCTGGATGGAAGTGTTCAGCCTGTAAAATACTGTATTTACTTGTAACAAACACCTGATTCACCTTTTATTTGTAGCAGCAACTTGAGCTAAATGAATATTGCATTTTTTTAGTGCTTCACTGCTCCAGTCAAAAGAGTGACAGCCTGATTTGAAAGTCAGCAACAGGGGTCTCAGTGGTGAGAGAATGCAAAATGATGCATTAACAACTGCAAGATATTCTGATTCATGAAAACAACACAACACAGTGCTGCAGTGAGAGCAGACAATTGTTGCGGAAGGAAGAGCTTATAGTGGTGCTTCAAAAAATATACAGACTGAGCAAAATGGTAATAAAGCTCAATGAATTATGTTATAATTATATCATAATTATGATAATAAATGAGCTCAATGAAAGGGTTGGTAAGACACTGTACATGCTGATGTGATGCTGATGGTAGTTTCATTTGAAAACAAATTGAGGAAGTTTGTAAGCATGGATCCAGCCACTTCTAGTCTAGGTTTATTTTGTAAATAAACCTGAGCGTGGTCAGCAGGGAGCTCTGGTTTCTACAGTCTTATAACATACCGTTCATTCTAGGTTAATTGGTATCTCTGAATTATGATTGTGTGAGAGCACTACAGTGGGCTGTTGTCATGTCCAGGGTGCCTTAATTCCAGGTTAAACTACAGCTCACTGAAACCCCCTAAAGGACTTAGCATATGCATACTAAACAAAAGAGAGGTGGTCCCAGTATGGAGCCCTGGGGAACACCACAGCAGCCAGTAGCAGACCTGAACCCCCACACAGAGATAAACTTCTGCTTCTTCTCAAGGAAACAAGATCTAACTCTGGGCAGTAGCAGAAATGTCAGGTTTTTTGTATTATTGTTGGATTTATACAGTTTGTTTAGGTACCAAGTCTGCCATGCCATGTTGATTGTTCACATTTGTTTATTATTGTATATGTTACCATGTAATAATCTTTGTTTTTCTTGAAATAAACAAATTGAACATAGAACTGTCAAGGTCACCCTACGACCAAGCAAGAGAGGCAACGTGCCTGTTTGGAAAAGTTATCTTCTCTGAAACACAGTAGAAGAATGAGAAAAAAAGCTGTTCACAAGCACTGAAATTGCATTACTCGTATATTTAGCTTTGAGTCATTCTGTGAAATAATTATTGAATCCATATTATGTATCCACAGAAAGCCTGTAAAGAGTTCAAAACCATTTGTTAGAAAGAATAACATTGTTATCTGAATAACTGACATCATGTCCCCCAGATTGTTTAATTCCAGCAAGGTTTGGTTTTAAAACTATGGTGTAAAATAAATATTAGAAGTAACGCTCATTGTCAGAAAATTTTTATATTTTGTTTTAATTTAGTTAAATATGCTTTTACCCATGGTATTGTTTAATCAGGGACAACAGAAACCAACTGTATTTGTTTAAATGACACCTAGTGGGTTTACTAAAAAGGCATTGCTATTTGTTTTCATATCTGAATGGTAATACAAAATCAATTGAATTTAATGGCATTCTTTCCTATATTGGCTTTGCTATATAGATTGCTTTGATGTGTAAAAAAATCTTTATATTTTATTTATATATATGTTTATTTGTATTCTATACATTGTTTTGTAAGCTCTTAAAACTCACATGATTGCAAGACCAACTTTTATATATATTATTGTCCACATCATCTAATAATAATCCTATGGATAACAAACTTAATGCGTAAGTAATTTGTAAATACTGCAGGTAAAAAAAAATACTTCAGAAGTCATTTAATTTGTTCAAATACTGAAAGCCATACAAGACGTGTACTGTAGCTTGAGATAGGACCAGAACATAAATTATTTGACTTGGAATACATCAGGACATCTATGAAGAAACAGGGAAAGGGATCATGTTATTTTGCTCAGCTTTCAAATTGTAATTGATTTCATTTATTACATAAATAGTTTTACTATCGGTTTTGACATCACCATTTGTTTCTGCAAACTTTAGTCAATAAATCATCAGCATCCAGCATTGAAAAATGGTTTTTGTATCAGTGATGATATATAACTGAAGCAGGTTTTATTCGTCTTTGCTATATACAGTACAGTACAGTAGGCATCAGACCAACTCAAAGGACTCAGACCAACAAGCTGGAAACAAATTCTGTTTTTCAAAGCAAATATTGGTACGAAGACCTGTAAGAACAAGTCCGCAGACGTTTGACAATTAGTATGCAATAAGTTAAAAGGAAAGAAAAGAAAAAGCACGTACAGTATATTAAAATTCTGTGATTTAAAATTGAATTATATCTGAAACCATTTTTCCTCTTTGTGTGTGTTTCTTGTTTAGCTTATAATTATAATATGCGAATTGTGATTGACGCTATTTTTCCCTCAAGTGAGCTGTCGGTGCGTGCAGTTTTTCTCGAAGTAACAAGGCTCGCGTAACAAGGTATTGTACCGGGAAGCGTGACAGCCTACATGACAGAATTTAATTAGATTCTCTACCTTTTCAGATTTACCCCACTGTTTTTAAGGGGATTACAGGTGTACCGCCACTGCAGAGTGAAGGTCTGGCTGTGGCAGCGCCTGTTTAAAAGAAAAGGTCGGGGTTTGTTCGAGATAGGAAAAAAAAAACAGCATTG